TGCATGATCTATCACGTCTTTTTTGGTGAGGGGAGGCTTTAACACTCGCTCTTCTGGCGGTACAATGCGCTTCTCGTAATCTAGGATAGGAAAGATGATCGGTACATAACTTACTCTAAATGCGTCAACAGTCATGTACCAATCACAATATTGATAAATTTCTCGTCCCATCCATATAATTACAACGTACGCATGTTTGCAAGGAATGCGGGTGATGTCCCAAGACTTGCAAGAACAAGTCTGATTATTCAAATCTACATGGCAAGTTTTATTGGACTCGACCTCCACAATATATTTCGTCGAATGTTTAATCGTCAAGCAGCTACCATGCTGAATATTATCACACAGTACCATCTCCGTTTTCGGGCATAAGTATCCAGACTATTTCTGGCCCACTAGCATCCTTTCATGCATGCGCTCCATTATTTGCTTCTGTATGGTCTCAACCAAAGGTAAGAGTCGCAACAATCGTGCATTTCTTATCCAGCTGTTGAAGGACTCAGCAACGTTTGAAGTAACATGATCATACCTTAACAACAAAACACTAACATTAACAATAAAACCATAACCTAAACATTAAAGACCTAACCTTAACAATAAATATTCTAAACTTAACAAAACTCTAGCAGAATAATTCTAACCATAACAATAAAGATCTAACCTTAACAGAAAACTGTAGGCTAATTCTAACCTAAACAACTATAACGGTGCTGTAACAAAATAACGTTGAAACCAAGCTATCTTACCTTATACCAGGAAAATGCGTGTTTGCCCCTCTCCGGGAGTATTCCATTACAGTGACGTAAGTCATGTGATCGATCGCTACCAATTCTTTCATATCATCATCTCATTCAGAAATTGTGAACTTATAAGCCGCAGACTGTAACAGCTCGCCCAACGTAGTCGCGACATTTGCCTTGTGCCCAAAATCCTTCATCTTCTTTTTAAAATTCTCGACTAGATGAAGAACACACCTTGAATGGATTCCTCGACTGCTGCCCTAATACCCTTGTTGACGTCGAAAATAATTACCAGTCGATGTGAAGGTTAGTAAGGATTTTCCCTATCATACAGTAACGTCTATAATCCTTATAAGAACCATTTCCAGTTAACCTCATTCTCTTGGTCGCATACGCAATAAGCAAAGGGAAATATTTACTGGTTGCCGTCATACCCAGTGGCACTAAGTAGTATGCCTCTGTAACGATCTTTAATAAATGTTTCATCCAAAAACAATAGAGGCCTACACCCAGCAATGAACCCTTTAATACAGGTATTATAACTAATGAACAATCGCCTGAACCTCCCGTCATCAGCATCAATAACAACACAACTCCCTGGATTAGTTACATGCACCATGGATTCATACCTGCATGAATATAACAACAAAACAGTACATTTAGCAACGGAGACATAACCATAACTGATCTTCGAACTTCACGATCAACACGTATACTTAACGACGAACCAACTTTAACAACTAATACGTATAGTTAGCAACCAAAACGTAAGCAGTAGATTTAGCAACGGATTCATAACCATAACAACTGATCTTCAAACTTCACAACCAACACGTATACTTAACGACAAACCAACAACTTTAACTAATACGTATTGTTAGCAACCAAAACGTAAGCAGTAGATTTAGCAACGAATTCATAACCATAACAACTGATCTTCAAACTTCACAACCAACACGTATACTTAACGTCGAACCAACAACTTTAACAACTACTACGTATAGTTAGCAACCAAAACGTAAGAGTGATTTCAGAAGAATAAAAAAGATAAGAACCATCTCAGTGAATCGTAAGCTTCATCATCGTCACTGAACAGGTCTTGTTGAGCTATCTCCTTGCCCCCACCACATTTTACTATAGTTAATCTTGATGCCAAAATTAGAGAACATGTCGTTCTTAATATCAACTGCACGAAGATCTGACATAACCTTCAAAACAGCTTGTATTTGGCTAGCAATGAACTTCCTTGATGCCCTTGAGTTGCCAGCATTTGCTCCATGTTAACCACAGATGTGGGTAGATTCAAAATTCTTTATGAATATGATAGACGAATTTCTGAGCGGGGAAACAAACAACATCCAAGGACAATCATGTGTGTGCTTGAATCAGCAATAGACTCTTATGCGCATTTGTTCATTATGGTAAAAATCATACTCGAACGGTTTAGCAATTGAATAGTATTGAAATGCTAATCTAACTTCAGCAGCACTATCAAATTTTTGACCAACTTCACGTATGGAGGTGTGCCACTCAGTTGGGATCTTTGTTTGGTGATTAAGCATGTCTTCCAGCAACATGATCGAGTCGCCGGTGGGGTTGTCATTAGGAATACGCTCATCATTACAGGTTTGGGTGAACGTGGTATCTGCGCACCGTGAATTTTCTGTCGGTATTGTCCTGAAGTAGTAATAAAAATACATAGTCTTAGTAACGAACTGATAACCTTAACAACGAACTCATAAACGTAACAATCAACACATATCCTTAACAACTAACCCTTATACTTAAGGACAGACTCGTGACTTTAACAACAAACACATATACTTAATATCAAACACCTTATCATAGCAACCAACTAGTATACGTAACAGCGAACAAATAACATTAACAACCAGTCCTTAACATAACATTGACAACCAATTCATTACCTAAGCAACCAATGCATAAGGTTAACTAATGACAAAACCTATCAGTAAACTCAAAAGAAAATCTGGAATGTAATTCCTACGCAGTTTCCGACGTAGTCCGCGTGTTCTGCGAAGTTGAGGATTCCCCAGCAGAGGTAGCATATAAATTCGCGTCTGTAAATCCATTACGCCGACAATACTCGAACATCAAATTTAAGTCATCGTCATTGTCAATTGAAATACTGAATTTCTTTTCCCTTTCGCATATGAACTTCAGTGAAAGAGATTGTATTGGTATTTCAAGTCTTTCCGACACTTGATATTTCAAGCTGATTATTTCTATATTCTCTTTGATAACAACGAATACACTGTCACCATCTTTGTTGCTTTTTGCCTTCGTTACCACGCATAGAAGAGATCCATCCACCATTTTATTACAGGGAGTAGTTGAAGAATCGAAGAGGCTTTTATTGAGGAGAATTAAGTGAAAGGAACAAATTAGTTGGGGTAATAGAATGGGGAGGAACTCAGCGATTTTATTACGGCTGGAAGGGGAGTATATCTGGTAATAATTTTGGAGGGAAATGGGAATTCCCCCCCCCAAAAAAAAAGGCATTCTAATCACCATTTAATGCCTACAGTCAAAACGCCATGTTTCCAACGTGAGAGAGCGACGAACACAGGTTGCGAAGGGTATTTTGGGCATTTCGTGAGGGGTTTAAACGAAGTTACGCCTGGGGATTCGTTTTGGGGGCTGGAAGAAAATCACGGGCGATTTTGAGGGCAAAACACCCGTTGAAAAAGTCTTGGGGGAGAAGCACGTTTTCTTGTGTTTTGAGGGCTGGAAGCATTTTTCCCTATATTAAATGGTCTTCAGCATAACAAATATTATGTTGTTTCTATTAGCATATTGTTCTCGAAAAAGACAGCAACATGAAGCCAATTAATACTCAGAAAATTTTGAAATAACAAAAAAGCCTAGAGGTATCTGGACAAAGTTTCTGTAACTTGGATCTTGACTAACACACTTAACTTAGATCCAAAGGTAATTTCATCATAAAATCAAGAGTTGTGATGAATAAAATTAAAAGAAAAGGGAGAGCCAAACAAGAAAGGAGGTATGATTTTGTTTAAAAATGCAACATGAAAGCATACTAATCAGCTAAAAGTTCTTCCTTTATGTGTCCATAACTATTAACTAACTTAAAAAAGTAAAAGATATTCAATCAAATTATATACTTAATCACCCAAATAACCAAGGTGAAACTTAATGCTGAGTAATAGATAGAGAAAGAGTTGGTGCTGAAAAGTTGATTAGAGTTTTCAACCATTCCGCTATCAACAAAAAATAAAAAATAAAAAGTAAAAAAATAAAAAATTAAAAAATATCATTCTTTAAAGTCCTCTAACCAAAAAGAAGAGGAAACAAGATTGAAACTCCTTGCTACAGTTGAAGGTGTAGATAGAACATCAAACTCCAGAACTGGAAATTCCAAGCCGTTCCAAACCAAAGACAGGAGAAGTAGATCTTTAGAACAGCATTAGTAACATTCTACCCCTTTAATATGATACGGAGCATTTTTGGGGTTTCTCATAACCACGTGACCAGTTTTTAAGATCATTTAATGCTTAAAAACTTTTTAAGTTGTTACACACACCTACTTTATCTCCAATTTCGCGCTTAAAGCCTTCGCCAAGCTTTCATTTGGTTTAGCCCCTAGGGGGTTACAGCACCTTCTTCAATGAGGCTAGAATCACTAGATTATATTAGTAGGGAGCTACAAAAGTTCATTTGGTTAAGGAACTGCCCACAAACCATTGGTGACAGTGCTTGCTAATCAATATGTAATAACTAAAAGATAGACCATAGGTTTGTACAAAATTCCCAATAAAACAAGCTCACTTCTACCTGCTGGCTCACAACATGGTTTAGATCAAAGTTCATCCAATGTGAATAAGAGATGGATCCTGGTTGTTCTTTGTTTTCAAATACCCCTTAAGTAATCAGATCAACTCATCCATTGGATGCATTTTTTCCCACAATCAAATAAGTTTGACAGATCATGTGTGGCCTATAAACAACGTAACTGTGTAGTTGGAAGTTAGCATATTGCCCGGGAAAACAGAAACCAATATGCTACAAACTAATGAAGACAGTGACATTAAAGTCAATCCATAAAGCAGAATATTATATTTCCACATAAATATGATATTCGTGTAATGTATCACCCTAGAGTACTCACAAGAAATAAAATGAATTTTTTATTCAAAAAAGATTTAGCAAAAACATACCATATCAGAAAACTGGAACAGTGACTTTCAACAAGAAAAAAGAGCTAAAATTACATCTTACCTTTCACCCCAGAATGACTGGGGCCTGTGAAATCGCTCAAACACAGGCAGCAAATCCTTTCGCCTTATTTCAACCTCATGTAATGGTATCTTTTCGATTTCCACCTCTCCGCCGGTACAATCAATAGCAGATTTCCCAGAATCCCCAGATGGAACCATCACATAGAAACATATCTAAAATTTTAAACCACAGAAGACATGATTAACTTTAAAGGAAGAAATGGCTGCAAGGAAATGAAAACTAAACAGAGAAAACAGGAATACTTTGGATTTTTGCCATATAGGAACCCTTCCTGAGTAAACCTGCACTTCTGCATTGGAGAGGTACAAGTGTGGCCTTCCATTACTCTTTTCACAGTCAGATACATCTATAACTGTCTCAACTTGGGGTCGACTATCAAAGAGAAATTTGGATATATTTTCCTCCCTTTCAGGCCAGTTGGACCTTCTGCAGACATCCCACCATTGAACTGGTTCAGCATTTACATGATCATCATCTTGAAGTTGCAAAAGAGAACCAGGACTGGTTCTTGAGCTGCTATCGGTCAGCTCTGCACCAGTAGATGGTAGAAGTTCGTGTTGAATCAAGTGACCAGATGGAGAGTAGATTAAAAGATGCTCCAACGAATTAGCCTTAGAGTGCACTGTCTGCATACGGTGGTATACAGAATTGTGGAAAACAGCAGCCATAGCACCTGATGGTACAGGCACCTTTCCTGCTGCACTGGCAGCAACATTGCTGACTGTATTTAACCATCCAGAGTTAGAATTTTTTATTCGGCTAACTACAGAAAGTGTCATAGGTGATGGAGGTGGGAGAAACTGTTGATCCATCACATAAGATGAAGCTGACCACCATGGCAATGTAAGAGTTGGGATGAGGGATGGCCCATCACTGTAAGTACTTAGTTGCTGAAGACTGGCATCACCGCCAAAAGGAGACAACACAAATATATGGCAGGTACCTCTAGATGAAACAATTGCTATCCACTGACTAAAACTACTAAAACAGATGTCCTGTATCACCTGGAATGTAAAATATTGACAAAAGAAAAAAGAATCAACAAAGAGAATTCAAGCTACAAAATTTCAGCTGGATAGAATATATTCGTAGATGCCTTACAGCGGTTGTTAATCCACGATACAGCTTGTAAAGATGAACATGGGATGAAGCCCAATCATAACGTACAGATCCTGAAGCATTCGGTACACAGGTTGGCATAATCCGGAATACATTGATATTGTGCCCATGCACTGAAGCGGTTACCAAAAGAGTGCCACTAGGATCAAAACATAAAGCAGATATTGGACTGGTATGAGCCCTAAATTGTGAAATGACTTCCTTGGAAACAAAATCTTTAACAACAACCTGAAGAAAATAATTACAAGTAAAACATAAGTCATTTCATTTATTTGGAAATGTACTAAATACATATTAATTCAGCTTTTCACTAATTAAAGAAGTTATCTACTTGAGCATCTCTGTATGCTCATGTTGTAGAGAGGGACTATATGTACAAAATTCTATAATAACAATAATAAAGGAAAGAGTATATGTACAAAATAATTATTTGAAACTAACCATCCCTGCATTATCAGCTTCACTTGGATGGCTTGTTGATGGAACCCTTCCAAACCTCTTACTAGAATTTGATGACAAAGGAGAAGTAGAACCATCAGGCGGACGCTCTTGGCAATACTTTGACAAGGTTCTATATCCCATATCACCAAGATTCAGTATTCCAGCAGCCAAATGCTTACTTGATTCCATTGCATAACGAGCAACTAAACTCCCATTTCCTGGCGATGTTGACGGGCTAACGCCAGGAGATGGTGTCAAGTTCTGTGGACTGAGGCGTCCTGTGTTTGACAACAAAGGATTATTGGAAGCATAAGCTAACCACCTTGGACCAACAGCCATCGGACCATAGCCAATATTGTCCCCAACTGCTCCTTGCAAGGGATATGTCAGCACACTGAACTTATTTTCAAGAGTATTTGCATCAAAGCAGTAAATCTGCAAATAAAACATCAATCTGTTATCAAATGTCTAATATAGGCCGCCATGATGCAGTAGTGTTTTATCAAATAAGTGATTCTGGTGCCTACTTGTGCAGCAAGTGCAACAGCGACTATGCGGGGACTGCATCGAACCATATACACAGCAGAGCGGAATCTGAGAACGTGCACATAATTATGAGATTTTAGTGAGTAGAACCGAACAACCGTAGGAGTAGTAATGCAGTTTTCAGGTTGAAGTTCACTAGAATTATCTCTGATCAGTGCACTCAGACGGCCACCTTGGACCATACCCGAGCCGTTGGTGTCATCACCAGCAACAACTAACAGCAAAGGATGTGATGTCCTAAATCCTTCGCTTGTTTCTGACCTAGCCGGAGTGGGTTGCATTTGTAAATATGTAACAGGACCATCGCGCTTTGACACCATTTCACAAACATTAGATGAATCCTCAACATCAAGTACTTGGAACCCATTAATGTAACCAAGCAATAGAACATGCTTGAAGGAAGATGGCCCAAGCTCTAGCTTATCAAAACCAGCCCATAATACCTGTTCATGTAATAGCACACCAGTGTAGAATACAATCAAAACTTAATACTACAGCACTTCTAACGAAAGCAGAAAGATGTCTAAAAGATTTAAAACCAACGGTATTCAAACAGTTTATATGACATGTAACATCTGCAGAAGCATGAGAAACTAGGTGCTATTTGGAAGGGGGTTAAGAGAGGAGGATTAAGCAGAAGGATTGACTTAGTTAACCCCGCACGAGGGATTAAAAGTAATTTAATTCTGTTCAGATTTGATAGTCAAAATGAAGGGTTTAAGCTTTTTATGTTTTGAAAATAAAGAAGGGTTAAGAAGTTTAGTTGCCATAAATATATTATCCAACCTTCTCGAGCTGATATGTGAACCCCTCTAAATGAGGGGTTAACTAATTCTAACCCTTGTAAATGGTTTGTTAGCCCTTTGACCAAATTAACCAGTTTGGAGACTTAATGAGGGGCTAAAATGAGGGGCTAAACCCCCTCTAACACTTCTCTTCACCCACTGCCAAACAGGTGCTTAGAGTATAGTTCATTCTGATAGGTGTCCGTGTGTGGTGTTTTTTTATTTTTTATTTTTTATTTTATTTTTTATTTTTTATTTATTTTTTTTTTTGGGGGGGGGGGGTTTGGGGGGGGGCGCGGATGTGACCTTTCTTTCTAATTCATTCATCACTGTGATGAGTTAGGATGTTATTCAAAGCAAAGTGTTGAAATGGAGTCTCGGAATGTCATGAATCTAGAATATACATAATACTGAAAGAAAAGGTTTACGAGACAACTATACATCAGACCATATTCTTTATCTGTTAATATTAGACAATTAAGGAGAAGACATGCAGAAGATGATAATAGCTGTTAACTGAATGAGAAATTTGAGATGGATAATTAAAACTGTCAAAAGATAGGATAAGATGAGTGCATATAAAGAGTTTAAAGTAGCTTGGTTGAGGATAAAAGGATGGAGATTGTTAAGGTGGACACTGTATGCGGTAGCAAAGACTAATAGAGGCATCAGTTTAGTTTAGTGTTGAGAGTTAGGGTTGACCTAAATCAATGTTTAGAAAAGCGCGAAATGTTAGACCCTTTAACGAAGTGAAGCGCAATCTTAAAGCGTGAGGCGTAAGCCCCAAGAATTTAAGTATTTTAATTTTAAATTATATAAAAATTATGAACAAATAATATATAGTAGCATAATGATTTATAAATAGATACATTCATGTCTTGATTAGTAATTAGGAATTACATATATGAAGTGTAGACGCAAATCTTGGTAAACTAAGCTACATGCATAACATGTATATCTTATTTACGCTCACATTGTCATTTTGAAGATACACGGAGGCATTTTAATGTTAGTAAAAAAAATCCTTTTACATCATCCTCTCTTGTCTAAAGCTTGTGCTTCAAAGGAGAAGCGCCTTAGGAAATGTGAAGCACACAATTTAGCCATGCTTTAAGCGAGGAGGCGTGAGCTTTAAGGGATACATAGCTTCTCTTAAGTTTCAAAGCGTTTACCCTTTAAAAAGTTTCGAAACGAGTTACAAAAACGCTTTTTCAAACATTGACATAAATGAATACAAATGAGGCAGATCAAGGAAGATATTTGTCTATTTATGAGCACAGATGGCCCAACTAGATTAATAAAGAAAAGGGATTTATTTTGCCAAAAGATAGCATAATATATGAGTTGTTTCTGCAAGTTCATTATGTTTCACCTAACTTTCATAATTGAACTCATATTTTATGTCCTCATTCTACATGCTCTCTCAAAATTCAGGACAGCACTTCATTCCTCCACTTACCCTTCTAATCACCATTTCCTCTTCTAAAAATGATATGTGAAAGGCATTTCCGAGAACCTTTCTGATCACATAGACAGGGAACGTGGGAGAATATAGCAAACTTCAATCAACCTGGAACACGGTACGCTAGCAAATTGGCTTATATACCAGCAATCCGATTAAGAACAATCATTTAAAAAAAGCAATAAAAAGCCTACGATAATTGCGACTTGAAATTTCTTTTACCATTATAGATCCTTGAACTTGACTCTTGAATAAAATTGTACATTAAGAAACTTAGATTCCTACATTTAAAAACCGAACATAAAGTGTACTATGTTCCCTAGCATACCATATGTAAAACCCCGTAATTTTAAAAATATTATGGTAAATAATATTAAATGAGTTTTATTATGGTTGATATTGTTCTGGGATGAATGAACATGATTGTAATCGATTTGGGATTGATTAAGTACTTATAAATATATATGTGTGTGTAAATATGTATGTGCATAAAACATGTCAGTCTGCATCTGTACACTGGTCGGTCGACCGACCCTAGCAATCGGTCAACCGATGGGTAGCTGACTGTTTTGGTTTGGTTTTAGGTCGGGTCTATTTTGTACATGTATATATACATATATACCCGATTTTTTCCTCTTTTATTCTTCATATCTCACGTTCTGAGTAGAAACTATCCTCTCAAAACTCTAATTCATCTGTTTGAGTCTTTGGAGAGCTTTGAGAAGCAAAAAGACCAAGAGAGAGCGAGATCGGCTGTTTTCCGTAAGGGAAGATCGAGTTCTTCGTGTGTGTGGGAGCTTAGCACGAAATTTTTTAGGCGAGTTTCATCTCCTCTAATCTCATCCCTGTTTTCTTGATTTTTATTAGATTTTAGAACATGTTTTATGTGTAAAGATCACCCCTTTTATCTGTATGACGTAAAAATTTATTCTTTTTTATTTAAAAATTTATGAAACGGATTCCTTTGATTTAGGTTTAAGATTTTAAATAGATCTAACATAGGATTTCGTCAAAATTATTTGTTTTCATGATGATTTTACAAACATAAACATGCTAGGGTTAGTAGATTCACTCAAGTTGATAATTGTGATTTCATGTAGTAAACCCTAAATACCCTAAACAATATTTTTATATACGTGTTTCTTTTGAAAATTTTGAATTTTGGTATTTGTAGAGAAGAACTCACTTTGATCCATCATCAGGATCGGTCGACTAATCAGAAGAATCAGTCGACCGATCAGTCTGTAGGATTTAGGATTTTTCCCACTGGTCGGTCGATCGACATATGCATTCGGTCGACCGACCAAAGCTGATCTGTGTGTGCACGTTTGTCGTCACCGGTCGACCAATGGGTTACGTCAGTCGATCGATTTGAGCTATTTTGTATATGTTGATTCTTTCCACGCATGTTTGATCGCAAATTACGAAGTACGAGCCGTACGTCGACATACGTACATGACCATGAGATGCACACGTTTGTTTTGAGAACGCACGAGCTTTTGAAGGTGCGTAGTCTAATATTTTGAGCTTGTCATTATAAGGAATAGCGTTTGTTTTATTTTACGGTAGTTTTGGATGCTTCAGTGGGGTTAGTTAGTGCACCACAACAAGACTGTGGTTGACTACACTCAGAGTGTGTTAGTTGGTGTATTACAATGAGACCACAGTAAACTACACTCCGCAGGGTGTTCGAGTAAGGTAGTGAACCATAAAATATTGTGACGAGCCACAGGATATTGTGAGCGCCTATACTCCACACTATTTTGCTTGTAGGGAATCATACAAAATTGTAAATTTGCTCCCGTGTTACCTACCTTAAGGGTAGAGTATAAGATTATGGTTTGTTATGTACTACGTATCCTTGACGAGATCTTTTACCGAATATTTATTTTTGTTCTTGCGCCAACTACCTGAGGGAAATGTGAGATGTTATGATACGATTTGTAATGGATGAGGCTTAGTAATGTATTGTTCTTTGTTAATTATTTTATTCATAGGATTTTTGAGTTGATATTTAGCGATCCACAATTTAAGATCTTAGTTCAGGATGTAGGATTTATATATCTATATATGCTATAACTTGTATTTTTATACACCTAACCCCCTTCCCCTGAGGGTTGTGAAGATGTTCTCGCTAGCGCTTTGACGCTCTTTGTTTTCACCTTTTTCAGGCAGCGAGTCAGGGGTTCGGAGAGCTGCAGGTTAACGAAAACTCAGCATAGTTCGTCGTCATTTATTAGTAGCTAGTTAGTGCTCCACAGTAGACATTTATGGTTTTATTCTCCATAGTCCATATAGAGATGAATTTCATTTTAAATGCTGAGAACCTATGTACTTTTCAATTGATTCATACATGCTAGAGACTCCTTGTTTTATTCTAGTTTACCAGGTATATTTTATTCTTTTTTTTGTTGGAACATAATCATAAATGTTATTAGATCTCTTCTCTATATTGTGTTCCTTGTATTATCATTTTTACTATATCTGCTTGTACCCTCACTTCTTATATTTGATTCTACTAGAGAGGTATTACTATGATGATGAAACATATTGTTGCACAGTGTTGAGTGCATGACATGTTTGACATCTTTGCGTTCACCTTGGACTGCAGCATTGTGTGAAACCAGGGGCGTCACACCATATAAGTCTACCCTTCTGGTACCGGATTCCAAGTAAGTGGCATACCATGCTCCCGTTCCGGTTTCGTGAACCAGAATGAACTGGGTTCCACGCAAGTATGATTTTGATAGCACTTCATACCACTTCAGACAGCACAAGTAGTAAAATTAAAATAAGTACCAAGAGGTGTTATTTCTCATATTCATACCTAAAATCTTCCAAGTTTCTAAATTCAAACCTAAAATCTTTAAAACTCAATATTAGCCCCAAAAATCTAGAGTTGTTCCAAAGTACATGTTATAAGTCATAATCTAAACTTATGAGGTGTAAGGAATATTTAACTTCATAAATAAATGGGAGGTAAATGGCAAACTCTCTTTTCATTTTCAAAAACAAAATTCTCAACAAAAGCCCTTCTTTTCCCTTTTAAATTGAGGAAGAGAATCATAATTTCACCTCGTCAAAGTGTTTCCCCTTAAATGAGGAAATTTCAAATTTTCATTTATTAATTATTAGGATCCAACTAAAAGAGGATCATTCTGATGCACTGTAAATAAGTAACAACTAACAAATAAATTTACAATAGGAATATATTCAGAAAAATTAAGAAGATCCTAGGGATCAATGTGGAATTATAAAGATTTCAAGTGTGAATGAGTAATTAAGAAAGATTTCAAATGAGAACACAGAACAAAAACCCCAATGTATCTAAGCATAAGGTGAGCATGCCACCTGTGTATTAAGTATTTAAACTTACTATGCTTCAAATACAAATTATATGCGGATAACAAGCATAAATTAAGGTTCAACAAAGGATAAGTTCCAAATAGCTATATGGACTTGCTCTTGAACATTAAAATTTATCACTTCTTGCATTGGTGAACTCAATACTATGAATGGAAATTGAAACCAACCAACTTGGACTACATAGAATAAGATTTGACTTTAAAACAAAGTTTATTAGGCCTAGTATCCTACATATGTACTTGTTTTTAACTTTTGAATCCTGTCATGGTTAACCAATAACCCAATATATGTTGTTAACAAAGAAACAAGTATCAATCAACTAACTTAAATGCACACATATCATGTCATAAGTGGCCAATATGCATTATCTCTGACCACATACTAAATGCTAGGACCCTAAAGGCAATATTAGACGATTAAATGAAAAGTTTCCACATGTTTCCTAATTGCAAATCTAATATCAAAACACAGGAAAGTGGGCACTAGTAATAAACAGATCAAGTTCATTATGTGAAACAAAACTTCAGAAATCGGAAATCTCCAATAAGACTGTTCATTTTGAGGTGCACTAGTCAATTTCACAAGTTTCTTTATATTCATAGTGTTGGGAATAAATTTAGAAAAAGAACTAATAAAGATAATTGCTTGCATATTATGCACAGAACACATGCATATCCGATTCCAATGAAAAAATGACAAGCTTATTTCTTAATTTTTGGCTCCGGACACAATTCTTATCAGTACATCCATACCAAATCAAGTTTGTCGCACTTATAAACCAAATATTAGTTTATTGGTTGGTGTAACATTACTGAAGCTATGTGGCAAAGGAGCTTTTACATAACCAAGTAGGCCAGCCAGCAAGGCATGCATCATCGTCCATGCAGCTTAAACATATATAAGCAGGGAGAAACTTAAAATAACTTAGACTAGAGTATTAAGAGATGGGACACGATGATACCATTTTTATAATCAATAAACTTTTTTTCTGAAGCACAACAAAACCAGAGAGTTCAGAGCATATATGTGCAAAACAATGTACCGGATATATTAAAAAATCAAGCCCTCCCTGAAATAGGATTAGAGTACAAATCCACCAGTTGATAAAGTTTCTGAACCTTTAGCCAAATCTGAAGTCAACCCCTCCTGAACTGTTAAGAAATGTCTAGTCCTATCTAAAACAAGGATGGGTAAGAAAGGGTTGCCATAAAACTTGGAAGCCCACAACAAATTGGAACAACAGCTCTCAAAGACCCGAGTGGCAATGGTTAGAGTCAAATCCTTCTACATGATTCTTAGCGGCAGAGTTGCATACACATTTGCCTTATGCATATGTATTGCACTGTGTGTAGCACGTGTGTGCATCTTTGCTTGTGTAAGTGAGAGGAGGAGGAAAATTTCAATATCATAACTATAACACAAACCTCTTTCCTCTTCTTAACTATCCTACTATATTAATTACTTATATGCAACACTTGAAAACATCAAACCCTGCTATATCTGCCCATAGAATAGTTATCCTTGCTTGTACTTGCTAAAACAGTGAATTGTACCAAAGGTATAGGGAGCAGAAAATCTCAAAAAGCTGTTTCAGACTTCTGTATTTATGGCTTACCTTTAGTAAATGGAAGCTTAAATGAAGTAGGATAGTATTAATAGCATTACAGGTTGGATTGATTGCAATGAGCAATTCTTTTATGTTGTTCTTTATATCCTATTAGGGCCTCTCTCCTACGTCCAACTCTTACATGCTCTTTTCTGTTCTTGAAATGAAATTTCTGTTCCTAGCATATGCTTCTATCTTTCTACTTTTCTCTACAATAATTCTTTGATATCTCTTCCTTCAACCTTTCAAATTCAGTGTTGTTTCCAATCACTAATATTCTTGGAAAAAATTTAAAGTAGATTACATATCAGATCCAACTAATAAATGTGCTGAATAAAAATCTCAGCTAAATCCAAAAATGTTTTTGAACCCATAACTCTCTCCAGTAATAGTAAGAACTTTTAGCATGTAGATCTATTAGGTGTGGTAAACATAATTTAAGTCATACTTACACCAATACCAAAGATATACATATAGACGGCACTACTCAACACTAACAAAAGGGACATCCCTAATGAACCCATAATACATTAACCATAATACATCAAGAATTACAGAAAAAACTAATCATTCACAACTTAGGAAGTAACCCTGCTCCTCTCCTTGTCTCCGTTACAAAGATACTTCTTTGAGTCTTTAGATATGCACTAAGAAGATAGTTTTTTTCATGCTTTGATTAACACGATTCCTAGCTAAATTCAACATGTTGGCAAGGGTATCTTGGAAAATAAACTTAGCCTTATTAGTGAAGATACAATAATTATGCTCTGGAAAGTTCTGATTTTGGCCGCATTGGTAAAGATCCTCTGACTGTGGTCCTCCTAAACTAGCCAATGCTTCTGCACCCTTAATAACAGGACAATGCCCCTTACAAATTCACATCCTTGCAAATATTTTTGCCTTATGATATTGGGCTTCAAACTCCAAACCCGCCTACTTAAGACCATTAATTAGTATAAGCTTATACTCATGATCTCACATGTCATGCAAATTCCAACCTTCAAAGAAATTCTCATTCAAAAATAACTGAATCTATAAGTGAGATTCATAGCCAAACTTATAACAATACCAAAAGGAACAGTGTTTTCCATGGATACGTGTATAGATGGCACCACTCAACACAAACAAAAAAGGCATCCCATAATATGTTAAAAGATAACGAAAAGAGTTATCCTGCATGATTTCAGAAGTAGATACCATTCCCTCCTCATCTCAATTACTTTCATTCTTCGTTGCGCCATTGTGTAGGCATCCAGTAGAAGATAGCTTCTTCGATGCATTAAGTTAACCAATTTCTAGCCAGAGTCAACATGTTTATAAGGTTAATCTAGGAAACAAAAGACTACATAACCTTATTAGTGAAGATTCTATAATTGTGCTTAGAAAAAAAGTATCTTTTGGCCGTATGCCCAAAGATCCTATGACTGTGATCCTCCTGGACTAGCCAATCCTTTTTCACCAGGTAACAGGATAATACCCTCACAAATATTTCAGCTTTACGATAGTGGCTTCAAACTCAATTACCAAATTTTCATCTACTATCCAACTCAGTTACAAACAATTTTCATCACGCAATTAAAACCCTAACGAAAGATCACAACTTTCCAAATTTTTACCAAACAAAACAGCAAACAACCGTTCCCTTTCTCATAATTAACCAGAGATCCTAACAAATAGACTAGCTTTATCATTAAAAAAACTCAAAAAATTAAAACCTGGTCTCTCTCAGCCTCGGCCGGGACGGCGATCGAAGCAGCAACCGAAGCTCCGGCCGATCTAACGGTGGTCGCAACGGTGCCGGCGTTGGACGAGACCGTCTTCAAGCACGACGAAATGATCCTCAGCGAGCTCGGCACCCACCCTCTACTGTCGATCGCCGGCCATCTCCGAGTCCGATATACCATCCGACACAGATCCGAAACCCGATAACCCGATAAGCCTCATCTACCGCCCTTTGACTTCATCATCATCGCCATTTTCTTCACTGCTCGATGTTAAATCAAACCAAATAGAATACCAACCTCCTCTCTTTCCTCTTTTTTTTCTGCTATTGCTTCCGTGTTCCGCTGCTCTCTCTCTCTCTCTATCCCCCAGTATGTATTAAAATAACTACAAAGAAGTGCGGTACGGTATCTCGCTTTAATTATTTAGTTAAGTGATATCTTCAGAATATTCTTGGATTATTACTTGAGTAAAAGAGTGGGGCCCAAGAGGATTAGGATAAGATGTGATGAGCTCGAGGAGTACTGGGGGACAGATCGGGAGCTTAAAAAGTTTTTAGTGTTCGGCGATTTGGATTGTGAGGAGAGTTTAAACTAATGGTGTGTTTGGATTTCAATGGTGTTAGGGGAAGTTGGAAACTAGGTGAGAGAATGGAAGGAAAAGAAATGGAGTTCTCTTCCCTTTTGTTACACCCTAATTTGGGTGGTAACAAATTTTATACTATTAAGGGGTGAACCAAGGGAACTAGGGTGAATAACTTCACCTCCTAAATGTTCCCAAACAAGGTGAATGGTTCCCCTAACTTCCCTTCTCCCTTATTCCCATCAATCCAAACAAGCCCGAGTCAAGGGATTAGGGTAATAAAAATTGATTGGGGGTTAAAATTTTGTATTTTCACTGTATTCTCGATATCTATCATATTTTGTGACCTAAAACTGCATATTTATGATTTTACCCGTATATTCTCCGGATTTTATACCAGATTGAAGACCTGGTTGGGCAATGGGCAGCAAGGGTCGGATAAAGTGTAATCACTCGTTCTTAAAATAAAATCATCATTCTTAAGACTAAAGAGTCAGGCGGAAAACGGAAGAGAGCATAAATTCAGAGGAATATATATGTTTGATAATTATAAAATTGGAATGTATATTTGTAACTATGATAGAGTTTGGGCAAGAGACGAAAAACTCGGGCCTGTTTAATATTGTTGGAGTTTATAACATAAAAGTAAGTTATAGAAACAACTCATATAAGTAGCTAAAAATAGCTGTGTGGTAATCAAATATTAAAATTTGCTTAAAAAGTATTTAAGGTGTTTAATAAAACTATGTTTAATGATTATTATTAAAATTATATATATACTATTATATATATATATATATTCATATAATATATAATATGGAAAGTCATTCTAGGCTGACACCTTAGATTCCCACCTAAGGATGCGGCTAAAATCATATCATCCCTTTTTTCCCCGATCCGCTCCGTTAAAACTTGCATCTACACGCTTCTCTAACCAACCACCAAACACACTAATTTTGAGGTGCAACCCGTCCGTGTGTTTGACCCTCGCTTTTGAGCTGTCTCCCCTGTCCTACCTCCGTACCCCTGTTCCGCCAACAAAATCTTATTCTTCATTAAACTCGAAACCCTCACTCTTCTCTAAATTCACGCACCGACTCACATTGATAAGACGTGTCAATGACACGCGGAGCCTCACCAACAATAAGGTGTGTTCTAGCAGTTGTCCATGAAGGCTTGCTAGATCAGATTCACACGGAGCGGCTGTGCGCGATCCGGCAAAAACAATTACGAATGCATGTGATTTTTACGCGTCGTCCTTAGGATGGAGAATCTAAAGGTGTCACCTTAGAATCACTTCCCATATTATATATATATAATTATATACTATATACATATCTATATATATATATATATATAATAAATATACCTATATATATATATATATATATAAACCCTTAAAATTTAGAAGCTGCTCCTAAAAGCACCCCTTAGGAGCATAAGTAGCTTTAATGAGCATGAAAAAAAAAAAGAATCCAAACATTTTTATTGGTTACTTATTGAAAAAAATAAGCGCATCCTTAAAAAAAGTAATTTCAAACTGGCACTTATGCCAATTGGATGAGTGTTTTAACTTCGGTAGGATCTCATCAGAACCACCATATAGAAATGAGTGATTTACACAATTTATAGGATAGTTAGACTTACCAACTAACCATCGGAAAGATAACTTTCTATCGGGTGCTATGATTGATTCCTTACTCTTTTAACTTTGGGTTTTTGCATAGATACTCTCAAATCTTTTATTTTTGTAAATTTACCTCTTAAATCTTTGTATTTGTAAAATTACCATCCAATTTTTTCGCACTGAGTTTCTCTGCCCCCTCCCACTTAACAATTTTGGTTACTAAACAGCACAATGTTTAAAAGTTTCGATAAACAAAATGTTTAAAATTTTTAATAATTTTGTTTAAGTTTGCAACACCTTTTCGTTTAAAAACTAAAATTGCTAAGTGGACATAATCTTAGAGTATTGAGGGGTAATTTTGCGATATCAGGATTTGGAGGATGAATTTACAAATATACATCATTTGAGAGATATCTATGCAAATATCTCCGTAACCTTATATAAACAAAATGTACAGATGTGTTAACAAATATTTCGATTTCGAAGTTGAATATGTGAATAAGATAGATCGAGGGGTATATAAGCAAAAGAAACTTCAATTTTTGAGGAGGCGGGTAGGGCCCAGCAGAATATGGTTAGTTTGAGGTTTGGGTCATGGTTTGCGTGCTGACAGGGGAGGCGGAGTGGGCACGGAGACGGAGGCATGGGTTTGATTTGATTTTGGGTTAGCAAGCAACTACAAAAATTTAAGGATTTTTATCGATATGTATGTATGTATGTATGTGTGTGTGTATATATATATATATATATATATATATATATATATATATATATATATATATCCACCTTCTTATTGCGGGCTTTGTAAGTATAAAGCCACAACTCAAGTCTACTACAATTGGTGTTATCTTTGTCTTAAATGTGCTATTAGCGTATATGTACATTGGTGAGTTTTAATTAGGTCTAATTGTGTAAATTATAGAGTAGGTTTTTCAAGATCATACCTCTTTTGAATGTTGTAATGCTTACATAATATCGCTAAGTTAAATTTTTATTGTATTTGTAAAGAGCCTTAGTGAAGATGATTTTGTCTTGATAGTTTGTTTTGAATGAGCATTGCATATTAACTTAAATATAATTTTTGTTGTTTATTATGTTATATGGATATTTGTTTGGTTTACTTACCATTCTCTTCTTTATTTAGTTAGTTGAATCTTTGGGTTGACACACACACACACACTTGACACAAAATTGCGATGACGTGCACATCTTCCTAGCAAATTTGAGATGGATATAAGGTGAACCTTATGTTTCATGGCTTTTAATAAAAAAAAATTGTAATGAAATATATTACCTTCATATTTAGAGATCATGAAATCCGATAATGTTATTATGGGCTTATCTTTGATCATGTCATAAAGAATTGATCCTTTTTTATGCTCATGTTCTTAAATAAAGTTACACGTAGAGGCATGCTACTATATAGTAAAAGAAAAAATATCGATTTTTTTTCTTAAGCTACAATAAGTATCATGCGTATATATTTTGTCCACTATAGTGATTCCCCACCTTTTGCCTGGCTTGTTAAGTAAGTATTATGTAAATACTTTTTTGTCAATCATAATGATTTTCCTCTTCTTGTCT